AGGGGGGGGGGGGGGGGTTGACGAGTGTAGGAAGGGGATTTTCTGTTGTTGCTTTGTTGGTTTTTAAAATAATTTTTAGTTAGCCTTTTGGTTGCTGATTTTGAGCAAGGATAAAATAAAGAATGTAAGACAATAAAGACCGAGTGTCATGGTAAAACAAACACTGGGTCGCCACCGCTCGGAGAACAAGCGGCACTTCTGTCGCAAGTTCATGTTAACGTCCATTGTTACTTTGTTACAGATTAGGTAAACAAAACAGTGACCAGTCACTTCATCATGTACAATTTATATGATTTGTGGGCGGGGATTATAGCTTATGACAGACACACGCTTCCCTCACCACTTGTTGAAAATGTATTGTTACCTATTAGTCAACTTGGGAGGGACTAACAATGATGACAGGTGAATGAATTATGACGTTCCGTCCACAGCGTCACAGGCCGATTTAGAATTTATGACAGAGCATTGGGCGATTATAGAGACCATGCCTGGCCGCCAGAGGCAGGTAAATTTGGCTGTGGGTTGATAAAATTAGGTGGCCATGGCCGCGTTTAATTATACAGAAAAAACGCAAGGGGGGAAATTGAAAGTGGCAGTCTGTACAGGTAGCCATATTATGCAGGTGGCTGTCACAGCAGGTTCGACTGTACTTGGTGTTTGGATTTTATTGGTTTGGTGTGAGCTTTATTTTTGTTTGGTGTGTTCTTTTTAGAACCAGTGTTGTATAATTTTTCATCTCCTGATCCCTGTTGTGGAGAGATTTACTTCACGTTGGTTTCTTTCCTTTCTCATCGTCATATATGTTGCCAAGCCATGTTTCTGTTCTGATGCTTTCCATTATTTCACTGTTTATCGGCATGACACACTGTGGAGAACTCTCAAAGGATTAACCACTTTCAACATTCCATCTGTTCTTCTCTTTGAGTTTTGCTAAAACACTACACACTTTTTTCAGCTTTTACTGATAATTGAAGCTTTGAAAATAAAAGTGAATTCATGATATTTTTATTTATGAAATTTTTTATATGAATGTGTGTGCCTAGCTTTTCGTGGTTTTTAAGTTTGCTCCTTAAACTCTGAGGCAGCACAACAGTTTGGACCAAATGAAAGCTGCAGGAAAAAAGTAAATTGACCAGAATGATTGCCCGGCGCCTTTTTAGACCTCTCATCTCATTTTTGGTTATGCAGAATTGCAGCGTCAGACTTCTCAAGTTGTTAAGTTTTTCTAGAGTGTTTTTTTAATGGTATAGCATTGCTGTCAACTATTTTTTAAACTGAAAGTCTCAAGGGGGAATTCGTAAATGGGTGCTGAGAGAAATGTAGATTTTAGGCTTGGAGTTTCTTTTGCTTTGTCTAAAAATTTTTTGTTTGTTCTTGTTGTTGTGTCTGCTTCCAGCCCGCGTAGTCCCCGCAGCCCACGGTCACAACAAGGTCTTAGTGTGGGCTTCCGGGGTCACCCCTCAGCCAGCAGACGACAGTCTGAGCTACCAGCTTTGTCCCAGACAACTGGCTCATTACTTTACCAGTGCGGACAAGTTTTTGTTGTGTTGTTTTTCTGTGACTAATTTACTCTTTTTGTGTTTGTGTGCGTGTTTAGGAGGGACTGTTTTGAGTGCTGAGGTGTGACATTAACCGCTGTGTGGTATTCCTTTAACCAACTGACTTACAAAGACCCAATCAGTCTCTCGCTGTGATAATTCTAACCTGTCTTTGTTTCCTCTCACAATTTAGAATTACATTGCACGCAGACATGGTTACCGCATTGCTTTGCTGCATAGTTTTTTTCAAGAGAAAACTGAACAAGATGTTAACATCATGGTTTAATGTGCCTTACATCTCTCATTGTTATTTTTGCCTTGTCTATTTTTTGGGGTTTAGCCAGAAGTTTAATTGTATCAATGAGTAATTTGTTTGTAAGTCACATCATGTGACACAAAGATAGATCATACACGCATAGCTTCTCATTGATAAACCCATTGGCCTTATCAAGTTTTAGTAGAGTCATAGTTAACTGTACCCATTTAAGAAATAGTGTTTAAAAGTAAACCAGTCTTATTTGGGAAGTTTAGTATCTTAATGTTCATTTCTTTAGTTGTCATATTTAACTTTAATGGTACTTTTCTTATTTTTTTCTCTTATATTTCACTTCATGTCTTACTTTTCTTACTTATGTGTTTCATGTTCAATGATACTGTTGTGTTATTTCCATGGTCTGTTACACTATCTTTTTTTCAGCTTTGGGAAATTTCCTAGTTTTGAAGAGAATGAAGTACTGTCCAGTTTTCAATCGTAGAACATTAGTTTTAGTAGCTATTTCTTCTACCAAGCAATATTTTATGTTGTATTTTTATTGTCATAAAGTGTCAAATATGTTGTAAAAGATTGTACATCTTTACAGAACTTATGCTTCAGAAATCATAGGTCACAGGGACTCTCATAGAATATTAACATCAACTGGCATGATCTGAATTTTTATTCTCGCCCCTCCCCCCTCACCCCCTCTATCCCTACCCATCTTTCCTCTCCCCCCCCCTTCCTCCCTTGAAAATATTAAATTAATAGGCTTTTCCTTTTCTATCCTTCTAGTTGCTATTATCTTCTCCTACTCAGCAACTGGGTAATCACCATTACAGGTTTAAAGCGATTCTCTTTGATATAGCAGATGCCTGAATTTAAGTGCTTTCAAGTTTTCATGCAATGAAGTGCCCTTATTCTACAAGGTCTTACCAATCTACTGTGATGTGTTTTCTAGAACGATGAATGATGTACCAGCTATGAACAAAGAATTTTCTTCACAGAGTGACCTCTTTTATGGATTTAACTGTTGCTTGTTGCACGTTTTACTTGATGCTTACATTGTTGTAAGATTTTGTACATACTGGTACTGAACACTTTGCTTTGCATGCAAATTTCAACTTGTGACCTTTGCACCATTTGATGTGATGTGTATTGTTCGTGTAATTTATTTGTTAGAGTCTTCTCCTGAAATATTCTGGACCCTCAATTCATTTTTGCCGCGTTACTCTCTATAGGACAGCGAGGGATAGTTTATCCATATATATATTAATAATTGTAGTCTGATGCTTTTCATTGAAGATTAAAATAAAAGGAAGTTGGGGCAGGCTCTCCTTTAAGAAAAAACAAAATCTTCTGCGAAGTCAGATGAAAGGGGGAGGGGGGGGGGGGGTCGCAATGTCTCTGTTCTGCCACATGGCTTTGTTGTTTTCCAGGTATGTTAAAATAGATTGGTTTCTCTAAAAAAATGCAACAGTTCTATCAGAAGTTATTAATGAAGATTGTTTGAAATAAAACCTGCCCTGTCTTTTGAGGATCAACTTCTTTGCAAAGCTGTTGACTTCATGTGGCATGAATCTCTGTGCTTGATGCATTTACATTCTGTTTTTGTTTTGGATTGCTGCGAAAGTTTTTGGTTCATTCTTTTATGAACTTTAAAGTATGTGCAGTTTTTGCTTTGCTCATCAAATGAATCATAGAGTTGTTTTATTTGTTATTTTCCTTTTACAGAAAATTAATACATACTTGTATATTCTCTTTCCTCCCATTCTTCTCCCCTTCATTACCACCCTTCTGCCCCCCCTCCCCCTCCATCCCCTCCTTTTTTCTAACGACCCCCACCTTTCTCAAATTCTGGTACTTTCCATCCCCCGTCCCATGTACAGACCTCAGGCAGCAGCAGCAGCAGCAGCTGCAGCCGCAGCAGGAATGGTTCCCGATGCCTCTGGCATGATACAGTACCCCGGCGGCCACATGGCCCAGTACCCCGGCGGCCACATGGCCCAGTTTCCCGGAGGCCACATGGCCATGCCACAGATGACGGTGGCCCAGCAGCAGCTCATGTCTATGTCCAGCATGTACCCTCAGATGTACACGCCCCCGGCCGGCCTGCAGCCTATGGGCATCATGCACATGCAGGAGGTGAGTCCGTTGTTGAGACTGAGTCTTCTTTTCCCCTGTTGTTTCTGTTTGTCTGTTTTACTTTTTCCCCAACACTAAATGACTGTTAACTCCTAGTTGACGGCACGCCAGTTTAGCTGGGGCATGGCTTCATTCTATTGTTAATAGTTATAACAAAATTCTACCACACCTCAGAAGAAATTATTCGTTTTCTTTTCAATTTATTGTTTATTTTATTTAGATAGGTTAAATTGGAGCTGAGTCATAGGGAAGTTTGTGGTGCTATAAAACTGGATGACAAAGATGGAATAGCATGCAGTATACAGTAAGAGTTAATGTGTCGATATGTTCCTCTTTACTTATCATGCTACTGGTAAAGCTAAACATAGGGGTGTGAGAGTCCAGTATTTTGGACTTGAGTCCTAGTCCCAAATAATTATGAAATGTTCAAGTGAGTACTCAGTGCCCAAATCCTGAGCACAGGCTCAATGTATTATTTGCTGATCCCTAAACCAAATTTTACTAATTGATTTATAATAACTATAATAGCATAGCTGAAAAAGAAATGTTAATTGTAAAAACAACAAACAAAGATATGAAGATTGTTGAGATGATTTGAACAGTGGACAAAGAAAAAGAACCAAGGAAGAAAAAACAATACAATGGAGCAATGAACAAAAACGGTGTAACTTGCAAAACCTTGTTTCTTCTTAAAGCCCTCACAGGGGAAAAAGAAAGTAACCTTTTATAAATGCATAAACCCATGCATAAAGAGTTACCAATAAACATTCTTTATATATAATCAGTCATATTTGAGTGCTTTTATGAAATTTATGAATTTGTGAAATTTAATTGTATCTGTGGTTGGTTGGCGGGTGCTCTTGTGTGGTCTGCTCCTTCTTTCCTATCAAACTCCTGTCATCCTTATCTTCCCTCCTTCTTTTTTGTGTTTGTTACTCTCTTGTAACACCTCTAAACTTTGGCACTTATATGACTTTATTGTGTTGCAAGTGCCCTAAAACTCTAACTAAAACTGTATCTGTTCCCAGACTGCTGCCCAAGCATCAGAGCTGAGAGACTTGCCCTTCACACCAGTACACGCTCTGTCCTTGGCACCTGGACCTTTGCCCAGAGGGTAAATATTTCTGTTGATTTTGTGTCATCTACAACATAAGCAAAGTTGTTTAGTATGGTACAGCTCTCTGCATCTGTTTCTGTCGTTACCTCTTTCACTATGTCCTGAAAACTGAAACTGAAACTGAAACCGTGAGTGGTTGGCAGGTGCTCTGGTGTGGTTTGCTCCTTCTTTCCTATCAAACATCTATCGTCTTTATCTCCCCTCCTTCTTTTTTGTGTCTCTTGTAACACCTTTAATCTTTGGCACTTATATGACTTTATTGTGTTGCAAGTGTCGTAAAATACTAAAACTAAACAAAAACTGAAATTTTAGCGATGTTTTTTTTAGATACTTCAACCATTCTTACTTGCAAAGTAAAACCAAGCTCTACTGTGAACTAATGTGAATACAGCCAACTTGTGTCCCGTGGGCTCATATTATTATGACCTTATGCCAGTGCCATAAAATTTTTACCATACTTTACCAAACAAACTATGTCCTGATCTGCCTGCCTACCTGCCTGCCTGCCTGCCTGCCTGCCTGCCTGTCTGCCTGCCTGTCTGTCTATCTGTCTGTCTGTCTGTCTGTCTGTCTGTCTGTCTGTCTGTCTGTCTGTCTGTCTGTCTGTCTGTCTGTCTGTCTGTCTGTCTGTCTGTCTGTCTGTCTGTCTGTCTGTCTGTCTGTCTGTCTGTTTTTCTCTCTCCCTCTTTCCACTTCCATGTTCCCTCATTCTCTTCCCAATTTTTCTTTTCCCTTCCAGAGTTGGCAGAAATGTATAATAATTGAATGTTGTAATGAAGGGGACAAAGTTATCCAGCTGGTTATGCAGCCGGGGGTTTGGTTTGTACTCAGTTATGTAGATGACTTGTTGTAGATGGCTGAGGTTAAGGTGATATATTTTACTTTTTCACAGTCATAATTCAGTTGCCTTTGTCATTTTTGTTGCTGTTTTTTTTTTGGTGTTAACTTCTTTAAAAAGACAGTGCTTACTTAAGCCAACCTTATGACTTATCCAAATGTGTTGAACCCAAACCTTGCTCTTCTGAGAATGCAAAGCAGGTTTCAGGCATTTTTACTACACTGCTACACCAATAACTGAAAATCCAAACAGAAAAAGAAAAGACTTGCACAATTGTTATATGATCGTCATGACACTTAATTTGCTGTTCTTTTTGTTTAAAAAAAGTGGGTTTTTTGTGTGTCCCTCCCTCTCCTTCTCTTCTTCCTCTGTCCCCCCCTCCACCCTTGCACCTTCTTCCACCTACTTCCTTCCTTCCTCTTCTCCTCCACTCCCCCCCCCTCCTCCTCTACTCCCCCTTCCTCCTCCACTCACCTCCTCCTGCCTTCCGCCCTCCCCCCACCACTCTTCCCCTATCTCCTCCCCCTCCCTCCTATACTCCTCTGCTCTCTCCCTCCCTCCTCCTTCCCCTTCCAGAGGCCGTGGCTTATCCCGAGCAGCGTATGCCAGACTGTACGCCGCTGGCTTCCCCCCCCTGTTGGATCGTAACGGGGACCCGCCGGAGGTGATAGACCCTCAGGGCCACCATCTGGTCAACCTGACCAAAGAACAGGCTGATCCTCTGCAGTCCAATGAACTGATTTTTCAGTTTTTGGCTTATTCCAAGTACGTTTGGAGCAGTGTTTCTGTTATTGTTAGTGGTTATTGTTTGTGCTGTTGTTGCAGAGTTTTTTTGTGGTGTTATTTGTGTGTGTGTGTGTGTGTGTGTGTGTGTGTGTGTGTGTGTGTGTGTGTTAGTGTGTGTGTGTGAATGTGTGTGTGTATGTGTGTTTGTAAGTGTGTGTTGTTGAATTGTCTCACAATGTGCACTTTCTGTCTTTTGATTTGGATTGAATTCACGTCTTTTGCGTGCTATGACCAAAAGCTTAACCATAACACCTAAGTCGCTGGTCATTATCTCTCTGAGGAGTTGTTTTGATTCTTACTGTTTCCTCATGATAAGAATGTTGTGGTTACCTTCATCATTGAGGTCACATATCAGTTGAAGCTGTCGGTAGGCTGTACTCATTGGATAATGATTCAATTTTTTTGTAGGCCTATTTTGAATAGATGTGGGTGGTTCGTGGGTGCTCTGGTGTGGTTTGCTTCTTCTTTCCTATCGAACATCTATCGTTCTTATCTCACCTTCTTCTTTTTTTTTGTTTGTTACTCTCTTGTAACACCTCTAATCTTCTGGCGCTCAGCTCATATGACTTTATGCAGTTGCGAGCGCAGTAAAACCTCTACAAAAAAAATATATTAAAAAATACAGTGGAATCCTGTTATAACGAGAGGGATGGGACTGGTGCGAAATGTCCGTTAGAGCAGGATTCTCGTTATAATGGATCCAGTAATAAATTCAAGGGAAATAGTAAAGAAGGCCTAATCTATAATGAGTTTAGTGTTCTGTTTATTCCTTTTTGTACTTCCCCTAAAGATGATTTTGTTCAACATGATCTCTAAGTCTTACTTGATTAAAACTCGAATCAGGTTTCTTTCTCTAGCACTAGCAATGTTGACAGCTCGGCGTTGGCAATCAGAAAGAAGGGGCTCTGGCTCCAGGCTAACTCGCCCGCTGTGTTGCCCCCCCAACCCACTGCACCCTGTGATGCGTTGCGTCTGCTTGCGCACGTCACACTTTCGCTCCATCTATCACAGCATTGTGACCTCTCCATCCCGCACCAGAGAAGTGAGAGGGACAGCAGGCCTAGATAATCTAGACTGGGCTGGCCTATCAGTATCAGGCGATGCATTCTGCGTGTCTGAGCGTGCCACACCCTCCCCACTCATTCGCTCAATTCTTTGTTGGTTCGTGTGGGCTCTCCCATTCTTTGTTTCACTGGATCACAAACAACTTTCTCAAATGGCGATGTTTAATGGGCGATGTACATGATACGAGGAATTTTCTAGGGATTTGACTTTCTAACAGTTTTTTCAAGTGATATAAGTTAATTATGATCTAATTAGGAGAATGATGACGGAAATCTTTTAGTTTTATCAAAAAGCTGGCCTCTGTTGCGGTGGCAGTCGTTTTCCACAGAAAAAATTGGAATTTAAGCCTCAAACTTGACACACAAATACACAAACACATGAACTGTGATCATAGGCAAGGACTTTTTTCTAACATGAAAAATAAGAAAAAATATCCATATATCACAGGGTGACTTCCGAAAAGTACGAGTACAAATACAAAAAATCAGGAATATTTCAAAAAGTGATTAATATTTCGAAAAATCCTTGCCTATGATCACAAAACAGACTATACTGCACCTTTGTGCCAAATTTCACATTTGTAGCTTAGTTTCAGAAAAACAATTGCCACCGCATGGTCACCTCCGTAAAAAAGTCATTTTGAGAAAAAAGCAATAAAAGATTTGAAATGAGTCCTACTGCAACCCACGCATTCTGTGTGTAGAGGTTTCGGTCAACAATGTTGTCCGGTCTTTCTGAACTCCAGTGAATGTCATTTCTTGTGTTCATGTCTCTGTTCAAGCACAAATAGGCTTCATCACGGAACCACTCTTTTCATGAATGAGTTATCACATTAGCTTGATCCCCAAGAAACCATGGACACCGTTTGATCCGTTCCCTGGCGTGGGAACGGGAAATGACTTGGTATTAATATCGAGGTCGTGTATCAAAATTTTATGAACAGAAATTTTCGAAGCATGGAAATCAACTCTCCCACGATGAACCTTGTCGTTTACCTTTCCTTTGTTAGACACAGACACACATGTCCGGCCTTTTAAAGTCTACATACTTTCCAAGGATGGTGTTGTTTGACTGCAGACTGAAGCCCATCCTATTGTTGATTTTCGACGATGACATTTTTTGTATGAGGCCTGCCATTTTCACTTATTATCCTGTCGTGAGTCTCAAGATCTAACCTGATCCAGTTGCCCCTCCCCTTTACCTATCTGAAATTGATAGCTTTCCATCTCTGACCGAGCTCCCCCTCCTTTGTCGCTACACACCGTTACGTTTTAACCACACGAAATAAGATTCAGTCTGTCTCGCAAATTCGGGAGTAGAGACAATTGCTGCAATGGTCAGGGAAGAGTTCACAGTTCGATGTGATCCCTCCTGGAGCAAAGTTAGGAGGAGAGCTCAGATGCGAGTGCGAAGTATGGGGAAAACAAACGCGTCGGTCAGTTCCCACCTTGGTGTGATCCCGTCAAGGGCAAACATTCATAAACAGTGTACCGTTTCATTGAGTTTTACTGGTGCAGTGTGTGAATCTATATGTGTGTATGTATACGTTGTAACCATCAGTGTCTGTGGCGTAGCGGTCATGTGCTTTTCCGTTGCACGCAGAAGACCCGACATACAGCAGGGAGAGAGAGAGAGAGAGAGAGAGAGAGAGAGAGAGAG